ATATTTGAGTGCTAAATGAACTGTTTTTATTTCATAATAGCATCACGCACACGCAAACGTGTCGCTGAAAATCATATTGTGAATAGTAGCGATGAGGAAGCCGACGAGGACCGGATCGCTGGTCATTGTTCTCGCCGGGAATTTGTGCCCATCAAACCAGCACATGCTCAGGATCGCACGGAAAAGAAGATAGCTGCCATGGAAAGTCAGCTCAATTCGCGACTAATAGCCAGGGGTACGGAGCTAGCCGAACCTGACAACTTAAAGCAAATTTCCGTTTTGGAGAAGAAACTGGCTAAATCTAAGAGTGAACTGAAGCGGCTTTAATATAAGGCGACGCGTGAGCGAAAGTACAGACGGGAAAAGAAGAGGATTACTCAGGAATTAGTGGCTGATAATACAGAGATGGCGAAAATACTAAAGGTACTACTACTATATGTAAATTTTGATAAAGTTCCCTCATAATTCGATCGCGCACCTGTGCGTATTATTATTCGTATTATTATTATTACTACTGTTATTATTTCTGTTTCGCGACAGGTCCGGCAAAAGTCAGGGAGGCCTCGCCTCGAGGAAGACCAACAAGGCCTTCCCGATGCTATTATGGACATAGCACAGCTCGGTAGTGCAACCGATGAGAGGCGTCGGTCTGATGTTTTCCGGTCGGTACAGACTGTAGATCAGCTGCATGAGGCGCTCCAAAGAATGGCAATACAAATATCAAGGAGCGCAACATACCTATGCTCTTACTTCCAAGGAGCAGCCGGACCTTGGAGGGACAGCGACATATCGTCACTGTACCGGTGAAACTTAGTCGCCCTTAGACTTCGCTGCACTAGAGCCACGAGGACGGTAAATTCTGTACGGCCACAGTAAGGTAAATAACATAAAAAAACAGGAAAGGAAATGATTTCATAAGAGTTATGTCACAATTTTAAAAAGGGTTTTAAACGATTAATTATTTTGCAGCGAATTTACAGCATTTTGGTGGTTGACACACCTGAGATGAGTAAGACATTTATTGCACTTTTTTAACTTAAAACACTCTAAAAAAAGTGGCAATAATTGCCTTTCTCATAGTTGAAGGGGAAGGGGCGCCGGAAGTGTGGGAGCTAGATCGATCGAACGGCGATCTCACCGAGTTTCTCTTTAAACAAGGGCTCATTGTACGAAATGTCATAGACTTTATTGACTTGGCTGTCCGCAAAATTTGTTTAAGGAGAAACGATGGTTTTTTGGTAAAGAATACGTCAAATCTCAAGCTGTTTGTTCCAAAAGTTACGTATATTTGTGTTGGTTCTTTTCAGACAAAGATTTGTGATCTGACAATAAAAAAACTTTACTTGTTAAACGCATTTGAGCAAGAAGACGGTCAAAGTTTTATTTGTCCTTATATTTTTTCCAACTACAGGACTAATATACGTGCTTTTTTTGGTGTTGGAATTTAATTATGGATTTCTTTCAATATTTACTTTAATAATTTCCTAGGTCAGTTGAGACACTAGCTTCTTTGTTAGGACCTAGCCAGTGCGCTATTATCTCAGAGGACGACAAGGCCCGTTTGCCGCTGGGCATTACAGCTGCCAAGAATCAGGCTCCAATATTGATGCACCTAGAATATAAAGTAACATTGCCTGATCATGACTGGGTCGTGGCCCCTCGGCACAAACTTATACCCAGCGTATACGCTGGAATTATAATTAATGAAGGGAAAATTGATGGTGATCCAGCACTGGTGACATACTCAGGGCCCACTTATATAGCTATTCGAAGTGCCAAACACTGCAGCTCCACGGCCTCCTCACATGCATTCGACTTTAACTATTTGTGCAAACTTCCTGAATTTGAGGACATCCTGAAAGGCAACATTATTTACTGGCTTTTCTCTAGTATTGCCCCGTGTACTACATTATTTTTACGGCCCTTTTTTCTATTTTACTTATAAGTTGACGGCGAAGTGAAGCCCGTAATCGTATTGTCAGTTGATGGAGGCCCCGACGAGAGTCCAAGATACCCTAAAGTAATACTTCATGCTATTGAGCAGTTCCAGCACCACAATCTTGATGCCCTGTTTATATTTACAAATG